TTTAGTTTATGCTAAAAAAGGTGACAGGTATATTAAATGTTTCTTCGTAGATTCAATAGGCCCAAAACGTGACTTACTTTAACTTACCCTAAAAAATTCCTAAATTTAAGCAATTAAAAACACCATTTGATGTTTTAATTTCTGATCAAATGTAATACTTTCCTAGCATTAATAATGAGTAATAATATATCATCGTTTCATTTCCAAAAAAAAAACAATTTAAATATTAATGACAATTGAATTGCATCAAATATGTTCAGAGTATATTAAGAACAATCAATGGAGAAAACAACAATTTCAAAGACGTGGGGGTATTTTGGTCATCTAAAAATTATAATAAATCAGATCTAAAGCTTGATAAGGTAACTTCATGAGTTGTTTCATAATCGTGGATTTTATTTATAAAAAATTGGTTTTATTAATAGAAACAAAAAGTAATGGGTTACAGTTAAAGAAAATTCAATTTGAAGGGGGTAAGCCAGATTTTCACTCAAACCACCAGGCATTCCAATCACCAAGGAGACAATAATCTACCCACGGAGTTTAAATTTTCATATGATCTATTAGGCGTGAAGGAAAAGAAAAAGTGGTCCAAATATTTCAATATGTCTCTGCAATGTTAACGACACTATAAATCACATGCCAATTGCAAATTTGCTTCCACACACAACGCATATATATTAGATTGTACTTGTATACATAAATATACTGCTGTGGCAGTGGCAGTTTATGCAACAGATGCAGTTTCATAGAACCAGCCCTCCCTCTCCCTGCACTTTCATGATGGTTCCGTCATCGTATATGTTTGTCTCAGAATAAAGTATATACTAATTGAAAGGAGCTCATGATTCATGCATGGAAGATAAGCAGTTTTTTATGCAGAAAGATGACAACAAAAGTACTTTTGAAAAACTACGGAAAAAGTAGACTATATATATATATATATGCATGGTTTGCATTATTTTGTACTCCGTCTAAGCTCTGTTGAGTTGGCCTTTTGCCTTTAAATTAAAATGCAGATATCCAAGTTCACAATCGACCTCCATCTCCATCAATGTTTTTATGTTCATGCATATAAGAATCCTTTGATATCGATGCTTGCAAATAATTCTTTTAGATTGTGACCTTCCTTCCCTAACTCTCTCGTAAGGAGAGGTTGCTTCCAGGAAACTCGTACCTCCCAAAGAGATGGCCAAAGAGGTCCCACCACAACAAGTTTTAAATCTTGATAGGATTAAATGATGTAATTTGGGGTGGGGGTGTTGTGTTTGAAAGAAGAAAACAAGTAAAGGTGATTGAGAAAAAATTGTGTAAATTTTGGTCCCCTGGCATGATAGTATATTAATTGTTATTGTTTTTTTCGTCGGATTGCATGCTGTGGGTTTTGCAGATATTTTGCAAAAGCTTTGTCCCTGCTTTTTTATGTACGTGAATCCAAATTAGAGTTTATGCAAGCTGCGATTCATCCACAAAAACTCAAATTCATCCCCATTCCAGCATCTTGAAAGCATATATAGGATCTATATAATTACAGTTACTCAGAGCGCATGCATAGCGAAAACTAATAATAATGCAACTTAGATTTGTGCTTTTCTTTTTGGGTGCCGTGAAAAAAGCGTGTAGCCTTTGGTCATGAAAAGAATCAAATCAGTGTCCGTATGTATGAACGAAAGTGCATCCAATCTTAATCAGTCGGGCTGTCCAAAGAAAGCCAAGCACAGTATGCGGTACGAGTTTGAGAAAAGTCCTTTCGGTCACTTCATATAATAAAAAGACCACTTTATTTCCTATATCCTTGTGACTCTCAGTGAAGGAATCTCATAAATTGGAATTTTTTTAAAAAGAAGAAGAAGAAGAAATCTTATCTGCACCCTGGAGTGAGGGGTGTAAAAGAAATGTTCAATCAAAACCTAACTCTGACGTCCAAATGTCCAATCTCCACCGGAATTTTCATATAATATACCACTCTCTCTCTCTCTCTCTCTCTCTCTCCCTCTCTGCATTCCCTGATATTGGTGACAAGAAACAAAAATCCAAGTATAACTTTTTTCGGTATGTTATATAATTAGGTTTATGAATCTTCATGGCAAGTTCCACGTGGGACTTGAAAGATATATCAGCAAGGTTTAATTTAGTTTTGCTTTTCAAGTAGGAGGAAAGGACATGATCACATGCAAGCTTTCCTTTTGAGCTATACATTTGTTTTTTTTTATTTTTATTTTTATAATATTTACTGCGAGTAATAAAAAGTTAAAAACGAGAAAATTATAGGATCCTAGGTACTCTATAAGGGCTAAAACTACAGGAAAGGATCTTGAGCTTGCAGGCAGGACCAGGAAGTGAGGAACCCACGTATATTGTTTGTAAGCAGATGCTTTAGTTTTGGTATTGTGGTGGTGAGTATGAGTGCATAATAATAATTAATTAGTTGATTATAGTTTGTAGTTTCCAGCAGATAGGTCTTACGTTTTTGTGTTGGTTTCATCTTGTTTTTCTTTCTGATCAAGCAAGGCCCCTAAACCTAATTAAGGGAAACATCGTCCACAACGTATAGCTAGATGGGCTCAACTCCACCCTAGCCATTTTTGGAAAGAAACTAAGGCAGTACCATGGACCATGATTCTCATTTGTCAAAGAACAAAAATAGAAAGTGACTTCAGAGCCCGGATTGTTGTCAAATACCCTAAATTGAATTTCCTCTTTCTTTTTGTGTATTTTTCTTCCCGTGAATTTGTAAGTTCTTTTTCTTACTTTAAAAACAAAAGGAAGTTGCAAAGGATTCACTAGCGTTCGTGGTTTGCAGAAAATGCTCCTCTTAAAAAAGGTCTTAGCATACACGTAGCGTGTGTGAGTTTAATATGTTAGGAGAGAATTTTAATCTTGTGTTTCATCTTTAAATGGAAATATCAAAAAGAAAAAATACACATTAAAATTGACCCCTCGAAATGGTTCGTGGGTAGGCACTAATTTTTCCAGCTATGGTATTCATTTTTTAAGTCTCTACTGAGATTTACAGTCAAAGCCTCGAAATACAACTAAGAGAGAGAGAGAGAGAGAAAATATCCGACACAATCAAATTAGACGCAATTCTCACACAAAGATTCCTATAAAACCTCCGACTCCACCACCAAACATAATTTATTTGAATTGCCAACTTGCAAATTCTAAGTTTCTCACTTCAACTATAAAAAAAAATGGAAGAAAAAAAAATGAATAAATCATGACAATGACAAAATGATAAAGAATATGGCAGTTGGCCAGACATGATATTGAGAGGCAAACATATCTCCCCCCACTTGTCCAACTCACTATCAATTTGTTGCAGGATATTGAAGCAATATATATCCTGTGCAATTTACGAAAAAGGGTTCAAAATATTGGGTAGTTTTGTTTTAATTGGCTTAAGTAAGAAAAATTAAGGAAACAAAGTGTGTCCCAATCGAGAGCTTTTATGGGTTTGAGAGGGCACGGTTTTTCCAAGGCCAAGGGCCAGCCACCCAGAGGTCTCATCCCAAAACATTTAGCAAGAGATTCAAAAACTGCCATAGAGACATCTTAGGCCCCCAAGTCCAGCAATGTCCATAGAATTGGATGCAAAAAATCAATCTCCATCACATCATTTCATCACCGATTAAAATCAAAGATAAAATAAATAAAGCACTTACAAAAAGGGTAACAAAAACTTACTTGTAACGGGAATAACACTATTTTGCTATTTCTAGCTAATAATATAATGATATGTGGAGAAGTTATCCGACGTGTCATTATGTTATTAATGGGGAATTAATAGCAAAAAGTATTATCCCATTATATGAGAGTTTCTCTCTAAAAAAATTGGCATGTTACAAGTCCAAAAACAACACTGGAAACAAAAAAACCAATCTAGCTCTAAAGTTTTTGAAAAAAATAAAATAAAAATAAAAACCCATTTTTAAGCATTCCCACCATCGATTTTGAGCATAATGTAATTGATTTTATAGTTTTGTGGATCTGCTTATTATTTGTATATAAAATTGGGTTAAAATAAAATAAGGAGGCCTGACTTTGTAGGTGATCTTCCTACTGCAAAGTAGCAATGCTGTCACTAGATTGAAGTAAATATAATTAAACCAAGCATATGAATGCCACTCAGTCAGACACTGATGATGCCACATATGAGATGTCATATTTCTTTTTTATAGCAAAAGGATTATAAAAAATAAAAATAAAAAAAGTTGGCAATAGCTGTTGTGCTTGCAACAATGAAGTTTGTTGGTTTTTACTTTTAACACTAAATCTAAATTGACACCAGCCAAGCCAAAGCTCCATCTGCGTTAGGCCATCTCCGACCCTTGAGATGAGCCAAAATTTGGAAAAATCCAAATTTGGGACCGAATACCAATTCAGGCACTGAAAACATTTTGGTGGAGACCACTCAAGGCTGATGCAGTCCATCTGAAAGGAGAAATTAATGGGCACCATGTGTTGTGCCTATTTTATTTTTTTATTATTCCAACAATTATCCAACGATTCATAATAAATCCAAACTATTTTAACGGTTTAAAAAAAATCCAACTACTTTTAAATTAAACAGTTAAAATAATATTTTAAATTAATTTAAATTAAATCCAACTCCAAACTCAAATACCCGCTCATTTCTCAAATAAAATTATATTTGTGGAATTTCAATTTTTTTAGGTCAAATTGTTCAAAAAATTTAATTATGAAATTATTTAAAAAGATTAAATGAAGAAAAGTTATCCATTAAAAAAAATTAGACTTAAACTATTCTTAAACAATTTAATAAAGTTACATACTTAAAATTTGAGTATGAGCAACACTCAAATAATTACTTCTTAAAGGAGGTAAATTTGAGTTTTAGTACCAAATAGGTTGGAGAATGCCTTACTCTGCAACCTCAAGAGTGGACCCAAGTGGGGCTGGTAGTTAGAGCGTGACAGCCTGACAGCAATTGCTAATTGGTATATCACAAATAATATAAATATAAATAAAATTTTCAATGTTGTCCTTACCTTTAATTCATTGAAAAATCTAAAATGAGAAGAGGAAGAAAATGAAAAGACAGAAGCACCCCAACCCTGTAGAGGTCATATGCTCTTACTTTTTTATATAAGAAGAAAAACGCGTTTGACCTGACCTTGTAGACTTCGTCGACTATCTCACTTTGCAAAAACTCTGCCACAAACCCAAACCCAAAGCACCAAACTTTGTTCGAGCCATCTCTCTCTCTCTCTCTCTCTCCCTACCCTAACCCCACGTTGCATTTGCCTGGCCTAACATTCATTTCTGCTTTCTGTGCTTCTCTCAGCACAGTATTTCCATCTTCTTCTCCACCTGCCAAGCCCCCAAAAACCAGTGCAGAGGCCAAACCAGGAAGACCCATTTGTCTTCTTTTGATCTAATCTCTGTTCTTTGACAACCCCAACTTCATCAAACACCTTGGTGTCTTGGTCCGCCGTGCCAGCCATGGCGGACATAGTGAAGCAAATCTTGGCAAAGCCGATCCAACTAGCTGACCAAGTCACGAAGGCTGCAGAGGAGGCCAGTTCGTCCAAGCAGGAGTGCTTCGAGCTCAAATCCAAGACCGAGAAGCTCGCACTGCTTCTCCGGCAAGCCGCTCGGGCCAGCTCCGACCTCTACGAGCGCCCAACTCGCCGGATCATCGACGAGACTGAGCAAGTGCTCGTCAAAGCGCTGTCCCTGGTGCTCAAATGCCGCGCCAACGGCATCATGAAGAGAGTCTTCACCATCATCCCAGCCGCCCAGTTCCGGAAAATGTCGTCGCAGCTCGAAAATTCCATCGGAGACCATCGGCCCCGGCCGATACCCGGGAAGATGGGTACCTTGGGCTGCCTCCGATCGCCGCAAACGAGCCAATTCTGTGCCTAATTTGGGAGCAGATTGCAATTCTGCACACTGGGTCAGTTGACGATCGATCTGATGCAGCAGCTTCGCTTGTTTCGCTTGCCAAGGACAATGATCGATACGGAAAGTTGATAATTGAGGAAGGTGGAGTTGGACCCTTGTTGAAATTAATCAAGGAGGGTAAAATGGAAGGCCAAGAGCACGCTGCTGAGGCCCTTGGATTGCTGGGACGTGACCCGGAAAGCGTAGAACACATGATCCTTGCCGGGGTGTGTTCGGTGTTTGCGAAGATCCTGAAAGAAGGTCCGATGAGAGTTCAGGCCATGGTGGCCCGGGCCATCTCGGAGCTTGCAGCTCATTACCCCAAATGCCAGGATCTTTTTGCGCAGCACAATATCATCCGGTTGTTGGTTAGCCATCTTGCGTTCGAAACTGTTCAGGAGCATAGTAAGTATGCTATTACTTTCAACAAAGCCACATCGATCCATGCGGTTGTGGTGGCTACAAACAACTCCAATGCAAATTATATTCCGAACAGGGCGAGTGACGAGGATGAGAAGCAGGGTTACCGTCACATTCCTCATCCGTTGGGCAATCGAATCTCGAGTCAGATGCACAATGTGGTTACTAGCACCATGGCAATGCAGGCCGGGTTGAAGCCTCCTCTCCAACAAGTAGTTAACGGAGTGAATCAAGCCAATCAAGCCAATCAAGCCAAAAGCAATGGCAACAGCAACAGCAATGCAAAGCAGAATCATCAGTACCAACAATCCCCTCACCATCATCAGCATAATCATTCAGGGACTAGCATTAAGGGGAGGGAATCGGAAGACCCTGCCACCAAGGCCAACATGAAAGCAATGGCAGCAAGAGCTCTTTGGCAGCTTGCCAAAGGGAACTCGGCCATTTGCCGTAGCATCACGGAATCAAGGGCACTGTTGTGTTTTGCAGTGCTCCTGGAACTGGAAAAGGGCTCTGAAGATGTTCAACTCAATTCTGCCATGGCATTAATGGAGATCACGGCAGTGGCAGAGAAGGATGCTGAGTTGAGAAGATCTGCCTTCAAGCCTAATTCTCCGGCTTGCAAGTCTGTGGTTGATCAATTACAAAAGATTACTGAAAAGGCTGATGCAGATTTAGACCTCCTGATTCCATGCATCAAAGCTGTTGGGAATTTGGCAAGGACATTTCGGGCAACTGAGACAAGGATGATTGGCCCATTGGTGCGGCTTCTTGACGAAAGAGAAGCTGAGGTTACCAGGGAGGCTGCCATTGCCCTCACAAAATTTGCATGTACAGAGAACTATCTCCATCTTGACCATTCCAAGGCAATAATAAGTGAAGGAGGTGCCAAGCACTTGATCCAGCTTGTGTATTTTGGGGAGCAAATTGTTCAGATTCCTGCCTTAGTTCTCATGTGCTACATTGCACTTCATGTACCAGACAGTGAAGAACTTGCCCAGGCTGAGGTGCTCACCGTTCTTGAATGGGCATCCAAGCAATCCTATATGACCCAAGACGAAGCACTGGAAACATTGTTACAAGAAGCTAAGAGTAGGTTGGATCTTTATCAGTCCAAGGGCTCAAAATACCAATGCCATTGATTTTATCAGAAGGCAGAGCGGTTTCGTATTCCTTGAAAAGAGAAAAGATGTCCTTCTTTTGTTTATGTTTTATCGTTGTCAAGGAGTGTACATACTATGTAATTTACAACTTTCTCAGTCAAATGAATATCTTCTTCTTTGATTTTTTTTTTTGTTTTCCCACCCAGGAGCCCAATTTGTTATTGTTGTTAAAACATTTGGTCAGTGGCAAGACCAGAAAGTTTTGAATTATCTTCCCAAAGCAAATTCAAACTAGTATGCTGGTTTTAGCATTTCTAAATTTGATTATTATGCTAAACAAACAGGGTTGTTATAGCCATCATGAGAGAAAATTTCAAACACCCAACCCAAAACTGCATCAGTTAATAACAGATTATGAAAGGGAGTTTACATTACGAATGCTCCAAAATCAGAATGCAGCAGTCCAAGTTCTATTTACATCCTTCTAACGGTGGCTCCCGGAAGTACACCCAAATGGATGGCTGCCGGCGTGTTACAACGTATAGAGGTTGGAGCCAGTCTATGTTAATTACATTATCTACAGAATTAAAATTCAATAGAGTGAAAAAGGTAAAGGAAGAGTTCTATAGAGCCATGATTGAAGAGTAAAAACAAGATCTGCAAAATATCTATTCACCAAACAGGATTCAGGATCTTTTTGTGTGTAATCAGAAAGGCCATAACTAATCACAAATCATTTCAACTATCATGGTCCATGGTCCAACTATTCAATACTGCAAATGTTAGTAAGACAAGCACCATCAGGAATCTTACATAAGCTGAAGCTCTTGTTTGGGTCAGTATACAAGCACTAGCTGACATTGACTTTCCTCCAGGCAGCACAATTGCAGATTTTCCCGAACCAAAATGTGGTCAGAAAGGAAAATACAATGTTTTCAAGCCAAATGCTACCTACAATAATGGATTTCTACGCAAGTGGAGCAGCCATACATATATATATATATACTCACATTGAAAATTGGATTCATTCACAAGTATGAACATGCAACCAATTTGGTAGGTATGTGGCAAGAATATGGACACCAACCCCAACTAGTGAATGATTCTGAAATATTTTAATATGACCACACAATCTGCTACAACAGTATGCATAATAGGAGAAACTCCATATGGTAGACCAATAGAGGAAAAATAAAAAGAGGATATCTTGTTTTTCATTCAATAGTAAGCTCTGTGGGTTAAGTCACAGCGCATTGCGCTACACTCGGGGTTAGAGATGCATATTTAACAAGCATTTTATACTGAAAATAGTCAATTTGATTATCCAAGAAATTAGTATAGGTCTTTGCAGTCATCAAATAAGTTCATGTGTATAACAGATTCTAGAAACTTATTGCTTCAAATGAGAATTTGGTTTGGTTTCAAAAAACAGAAAGCAATTCCTTATAGCTAAATCTTATAGCCAAATCAAAATGACTACTCCTACATCAAACATGAAACAAGTGAGCCAGCCTCACACACTTGGATACAAGCTCCTGCAGGGATTAAATTGAACAACAGCTAAAGATGAGAGACAACAATGCATGAATTTTCTGCCAACACATATGACCAATTCAAAATCCACCAACACCAGATAGAAAACTAAAAAAATTCAGAAAACACCTACGAATTGCCCCAATTGTTTTTATCCATTTTCCACATTTAAACTGAGAAAAATCAAATCAAATAGGCAATGCATGTTTTTCAATGGGTAGGTAGGTCCTCAACCCGATTACCAATTCACAATCTCCACTAGCCAATAATGAGAACAAAATTTCAGCTAAGAGATTCGAAAAATCAGATACGCAAGCAATTAACTGCGACATTGCGAATCATAGAGCATTGAGATTGAGGACTCACCTAGTGACTCTTCGAATTCAAACAATTTGAAGATCAATTTGGGGCGTAGTCCTCTAGGGCTTTTGATTTCCCAGTTTCCCAATGAGAGAGAGAGGAGGGGGAAGAGAGATAATCAATTCAATTCAAACGGCCCACCGTCTTGTGCTTCCCCGCGGTTCCGCGAACAAAAGCCAAAAACCGTTTCATTTGTCCGTTACGAGCCTGACCCGCTTTATCCATCCCGCTTCGGATCTGAACCGGGTTGAGAACGGATATACCCGACCCGAGTCCTTTGGGCTTCGGCTAGAAGTTTTACGTTTTTTTAACTTTTTTTTCTTTCTTTTATCAAGTAATAGTTTTAAACTTTTGAGTGAGTGATTGTATTTCTACGGACACCCATATATTTTTTCTGAACACTTATATTCAATTTTTTTATATTATAAAAACAAGTAAAATAAAAACTTTAATTATCAAAACCCTTTTAAAAAATAATTACAGGGCACTTTGAAGCAAGTGGAGACACTGTGAAGATATTGCAAAGGAAAAAGATATTTTGAGTTGAGTTCAAGGGTGTGGTTAATAATGAAATTTTGTTCCCTTTTCCAGGAATGGGAAACAATTCTTAGCCCCTGGATTGATGAAGATTCAACCTAGTCTTAGCCTCTTGTAACAATGTGAGCAGTGTTTCATCTTTGGTCATATGACTGCTGGGATTCCTTGCTCATCAATCTGTTCAGTTCTTCATATTTGGTCATAAAAGATTGCTTGGATGCCCATGAAAGCGCAGCGAGCACCTCAGCCTGGGCAAGCTCTTCGCTCTCCGATACATACAGTAAAGTTGAACAATATTTTCCCGGTGATACAGAAAAATCTCTTCCCCGTGATACAGAATCTTGATTAAAGTGTTTTGCACCTCCAGCACTAATTATTGCCTTGGAATGTTCAAAGTGAAAATAGTTGTCTGTACAAGCAAATTTTGTGAGGGCAATGCAAGCCGCTGTGGGTGCATAAAAGGTAACACCAGATTCTCCTACATCGAGAAACCTTACCAATGGACCAATCATCCTTGTCTCTTTTTCCTCAAATGTCCTTGTCAAATTCCCAATAGCGCTAATGCATACGAGATGTAAATCTTCTTTTTCTGTCTTCTCCATGATCTTTAGTAACAATTGATAAATAACACATTTCCAAGCGGGAGAAGAAGGATTGAAGGCACATCTTCTCAACTCAGCATCTTTCTCTACCATTTCCATGATCTCCATTAATGCAATGCATCTTCGGAACCCTTCTCCAGGAGCACTGCAAAACTATATAGTGTTGTTGATTCTTGGAGGCTACAGCAAATGGCTGAGTTCCCCTGGTCTAGCTTCCAAAGGGCTCTGGCTACCATTGCTGCCATTTCGGCCTTGGTGGCAGGGTCTTCAATGGCATTGGCATTGCTATTGGTTTTGGTCCTGACATTGTTGCTATGCAGTTGAACTGTCTCGAATGCAAGATGGTCAACGAGCAAGCAGACAACATTGTGCTGAGCAAAAAGATCTTGGCATTTGGGGTGGTCATCTGCGATCTTTGACACCGCCTAGGCCATTACAGCTTGAACTTTCAAGGAGCCTTCTCTGAGAATTTTCACAAACAATTCACATACATCGATGATCAAGGGAAGAGAGTGTTAGACCACGTCAAAGTTCTCAACAAAAGAATATACTTCAGTTGTACATTCAAATACTTGATAAGTTTTGATAACGTAGTATTTGTAAATAATAGGTTGATCCTTGTTAATAGGACGAACAATGAATGACTATTAGGTGTAACAAAGGTGCATAAATTAAGGACGGCAACAAATAACACAAACATGTAAATAAGATTACAACAATCAAAATTCTATCAGTATAGTTACAAAAACTTGCTTTCGAATTCAAACTAGCCTCAACTCAAGGGATACAACACCATATTTGACTTGACTTGGTCTAACAATGTGTTGGTATCAATAAATCGGTAAATAAGTTGGTGCTCGTAGTATTATTACTGATGAATATTTGAAGTAATTTTCTTACTTTCCATACATGTAATTTTGCTTTATCTATGTTCTTTTATTCAAGTTTTTTCATAATAGAAAAAACTTTAGTCATCAAAATCCTGGAATGAATTTAAACCAACAATTCTTAGACCCGAAATATAATTACAGGACAACCCAATGTGGAATAATGTATGCTCTGCAAAGTTTCACACTCAAAGGAAAAAATATATTTTGATGCAGCTTGCTTCAGTTCAAGAGTGATTTGGACTTTTTGCCAGATCATAGTTGAGCATCTTCATCAGTAAATTGAACATCACATTTGTATTTGGGGTTTCCTCCAGCCCTGCCACCCAAAAAGTAGAGGTAGAAAATGCTGTATTATTAGATAACGGTTAGACTGTGGTTGTTTATAGAAATCAGTATATCATATTCTATATGGAGAGAACAAAGCTGCAGCCTTAAGAGTTGCAGAGAGGTTTGTTTTCTGCGCACCCTCTCTATTAGTTTACCAAAAAGAAGGAAGCCATGTTTTGCACAGAAGATAAAGAAAACTTGTATCTATATTTGCAAAAGCAGCATGCAGGAGCAGCTACTAGGGTTTTAAATGACCCTTTTCTTTTCTGTCTAACATCATTTACAATATCAATTACAATTTACAAGAGTGTGTACAGACCATTTAGAACGGTAAAAAGTTCAAATCAACTTTTGACTATACGTGCTGTGGTGGTGACTATATATTTTGCAATATCTGCATTTTGTCTATACCTGCTGTGGTGAGATCCCAGTAGTACAATACGGATGGCAAAAGGATAAGGATTCCACAGAGAACCCACGCCATGAAAATCACACACATTTGCGTGTCCATCTTGGTTAGAAATTCTAGAGCCTTCCAAATACAATGAAAAAACTAGTTGTAATTCTACTTAAAGTATGATTTGGAAAAAATAAAACGAGCATCATGTTGTAATTCTCCAGCATTAATGAACAACTTAAAGTTTAATTTTTTTTGTTAGGGGCGCTGCCCTCATCCTTTTACCAAAAAAAAAAAAAGTTTAATTTGTTTAATTCCTAACCAAAAAGCAAACTAGCTCGCTGTTTATTATAAACTGGGAGTAAATAACTAAACGGGCGGCTTAATGACCAGCACACTTGTATCTTTTCAATATTTGCATATAAGCAAGCAGCAGCTGCTAGGGTTTTCATCCAAACCAGAAAGTAATAAAATATAGGGGGTAGCTGTCATGGGGCCAAAATATCTTCATTAGGTTTACAAGGGAACAGCTGTCATGAGGGCCAAAATATCTTTATTGGGACTCTCTCTTTCCTTATATAAATATGAAGGACAACACCTAGCAAAAGAGGTGGAAAATTTATTTGCTAGCCACTAAACCCTAGATGGGCAATTCATTTGCTTCATGCCTCCCACAAACCCCAAACGACACTGAGCAATTCTTTTTATGTAGAATCTGGAGCAAATCCTCTCCCTCCTTTTACTGCTCCACATCGAGTAGATATTTCCACTGTTCCAGGTTGCTAACTCTTCCTTCCTCTACTTTTTATTTGCAGTCAATGTCATGTACACTTTTTTTGTTCGAAGAAAATAGCACCACTATATATTTTTTTTGGTCGAACAAAATAGCACCCTTGTAGGAAGCCTAAGATGATTAGTCCAGGCAGAGCTAGACAGAGCCAACCGCAACCGGTAACTGCCCTTGTTTGGTTACCTTGCAAATATATATAAACAAAAAAACAGCCACCACTGAGTCCACAATAGTAATTAAGTACCATACGTATAGGCTTATAGGGGCCTGGCTACGAGGAAAGTTGCATCCTACTGTTGTATGTGTTGTTGTGTTTTTCCAGATTTCAAATTAATTTCTATTTCTCTTTATATATATAACCATGGGTTTTTTTTTCTTTTCCATTTTCAATAAATTTGTGGGTCTGAATTTTATGTATTGGCTATCATAACCATGGTGAGAAGCACCATAGGCAGTAGCAACAACCACGGAAGGTGTTTCATCCAAGCCTCTTCAAACTTTGGGTCTGACTCCTGCAGAATTGTAATCTTGCTTGGTAGGTCATTAATAGGATGGTCATCCGAAGGTGCAAGGTTAGTATGTCGGTTGAGAAGCCCCTGTAGCACCACATCCGTGTTCCAATGTGCACAAATTCTAAATTTTAATAACTCTTTAGTCTTCTCATGATTCAAGACATGTCTTTTGAACTGGATAATTGTTTTTGAGAGATCTTTCTCCTTGAATA